GACGAGGCGAGGGAATATATAGCGGTTGGCCGGACGAACAGAGAGAGATAGAGATAGAGACAAAGAGAGAGAGAGAGAGAGAGAGAGAAAGAGAGAGATACAGCGAGAACATGGTAGGGGCCGAGGGGGTGACTTTGCAGTCTGCAGCCTCGTACCAGCCTATCATCAAGCCCCCGTTACTTTAGATCGGATTAAAAACATTTTCTCATCGCATTTATACGATCGACATTATTATTTCTCTAGTTCGTAATTTTCTTCTTCTTCTTCTTCTTCTTCTTCTTCTTCTTCTTTTTCTTTTTTCATTTTTCTTTTCCTTTTTTTGGTTTCTTTCTTTTCTCTCTCTCTCTCTCTCTCTCTCTCTTTTTTCGATCCACCCAGATATATAATAAAGAAATATTTCCGGTTTATACCGAAGAGTTTGCGTATCGAGACGATGAATCATCTTCGAGAAATCATTTCGGTAGAATGATTACACATACTTTTGACTCATCGCCTCAATGCGACACGTATGTGTACGTATGTATATATATGGTTATTCGGAGAAAGTTGATCATTTGCGACGGCAGTATTCTCTATCTATTCAAATATATTAATAATATTATTAATCAAAACGTAGTTAAAACGTTATTGGAATTTTAATATAGTATTATTATAATAGTAATGCCAATAGTATTAATATTGTTATCTCCTATTTATTATTATTATTACTATCATATGTGATATGGAGTAAGAATATTACATATATATATATATATAATTAGAATCCTGCTAATAGCATTGCTAATACTATTAGAATATCATCCAATGCCATATTTACACATATACGTAATATAATCCTAATTCTTTTTCGTGGTATAATGAATTTATAAAAAAAAAAAAAAAAAGAGAAAAAAGAGAGAGAGAGAGAGGGGTGGGGGTTGGGAAGAAAAGAAAAAAAAATTAAAAAATTGCTTTTATCAGGATCAAAAGATAGTTGAATGTTTTTGGTAAAGGTATTAGAACGAAATGGTTGATCCAAGAAAGGAAAGAAAGGAAAAGCAGACGCGAGAGGAGGTTTGGGTTCTCCAGACTGTATAGCAAACTCCTTCGAAATTCCCCGCTGAGACGTCTGGCCAGACTCGGCCGACGATTTTTATTGTTCGTCGCCTACGTCTCATCCTACCACGCGGAATCGAGCCTTCCATGTCGATACCTCCACCCACGGACAGATTCTCTATTCTCTTTTATATAGGCCGAACCACCTAAAACGTTTCCTTTCGTCTTCCAGACTCCAGATTCATTCTGTTGTGTCCTTTCTTTCTTTCTTTCTTTCTTTCTTTCTTTCTTTCTTTATTTATTTATTCTTCTTTCTTCGTTTCGACCTTGCCTATACATTTTTACTTCTTAACGAGGAGAAATCCTGTCAGATGAGAAAGAAAGAAAGAGAGAGAGAGAGACAATGAAAGATAAATATATATATATATGTGTGTATGTGTGTGTGGGGGGAGGGGGGATTTATATAGGAACACCTGAATATATCAATTAATTTACATGGTAAATTTTTCCTTTTCTTTTTTTATCTTAAAATCACTTCAAAATGAATGTATTAATACATGCCTCTGTATAAGATACAAAGGTATGTTCTGTTCGTTTTGAAATGAGTCACCCAGTATATATATATATATATCCTTATATATACAGTGTTGATACATCAATTGTAATACAGAATGTAGTAGTTTCAATCTAATAAAATAGAAAACAAAATTGTCCAACTTCAAACAACTGTATTAATAAATAATATCAAATATAAAAGTGTGTCCTACTTGAAATATGTAAGTCATACAGTATATATATATATATATATATATATATATATATATATATATATATACACACAAACATACACACATACGCGATATACATTTACATACAGTTTGAATGCAGTAATTGGAATATATGTACTGCAGTGAAGTTTGAATATAATACACAGTGATTTGAAAACAAAATGTTTGACTAACTCTTTAGCACCTGTTCATTTCCAGTTGATTAAAAGATCACTCTATGGTACTTTGAGATCATCAGCTCTCTGGAACACCTGCTCTTGCATGTACCAATTGTAAAACATTGATAGATCTATATATACATATGAATACATAGTTAGAATTTCAATCGAATCCCAGTCGATATCTTTCATTGTGCATTCGCTGCTTCAAATTTCTCTCTCTCTTTCTCTCTCTCTCTCTCTCTCTCTCTCTCTCTCTCTCTCTCTCTCTCTCTCTCTTTGTTGTCTTCAAAGAGAACATTTACGCAGGTGATACGTACAGATCTCACAAAGTACATCGTGTTCTGGGATTGACATTCAAAGGGCAGAGAATTTCGAAACTCACGAAATTTCGAACATATCGTTCTGATATCTACGCTCCTGGTTGCGTCGACGGATCGAACGAGCAAATGCGAATGAACGAACGAACGAACGAGCGAACGAACGAACGAACGAGCGAACGAACGAACGAACGAACGACCGGAACGATGAACTCTGAAACAATGGAAATGAAACGACGTTCCACAGGATCATCATGCATTTTTTCATCGCGCACAAGCATGCTTTCCATGTTAATTATTTTCATTATCATCATTAACTATTATTAACACGTTTCTTATTTATCGACATAATTAATTAATTATCGATATCGAATATTGATAATTGTTGATGCATTTTTTGTAAAATCAATAAGAAAAATTATTTATAATTTATTTATCATTCGAGGAATAATTATTACGTAGTTCTTTCGTTAATTTGGCAAAAGACGATACCTAGTACATGTATCTACATTTGTGTACGAGGAGAGTTATTCGTTGGAAGAACGAGAATAGCAAATTCTCTCTTTCTCTCTCTATCTCTTTCTCTCTCACTCTTTCTTTCGCAGTCTTTCACGTACGTATAGCGGTCGTAGGAAGTCGTGCATCACGTTCAGAGTCTGAGAAGCGAGCAAACGACGGACCGTTGCAGCCGCGCTGCATCGATTTTACGTACGATCGCGGAACCGGAAGCGAACGTCTACTAACGTGGATGTGAAATCGGTCGAACGAGGGCCAGTTTTACGCTCGTTTATTCGTTTTGCTTATTCTTTTCTTCTAATTTCTTTTTTCTCTTTTGCTTTCTTTCTTTCCTTTTTTTCTTCTTCTGAAAACATTTTTCAACTTTGTTATCATTAAATAGTAATAATAATATAAGTATAATATAAAGAAATAATATAATAATAATTATTAATTCGATCGAATTTCGTACAGTTTAAGATACTTTTTCCAAACATAAAAATCATGACTGCTGACCCATTCGAAGTGTCATTAACTCTTCATGAAAGACATCGTCCGAGAAAAGAAATGCATCCCATCCGGCTTTCGCATCATACGAGACATACAAATTGTTGTTGACTTTCGGACCGACATAGGAGTTGCAGATTGCACATCTAACTATCCTTTGCCGCAAGCTTAGTTGCTTATATCATAATATATGCGTATATATACATACATGCATATATATATATATATATATATATATATATATAATAGATTTCGTATCGTTGCATGCCCAACGTACAAACTTCTTCGAACTTTCCTTACGACGTTTATCGGGAATCGTCTCGACAATTTCCGATTATTTACCAAGAACTTATTGAATCGTACATTGGAAATGGCCAATCGATGCAGAAATTGTTTGATACTGTAAAGAATATAATGTCATTGTGACATTAAGCAGTACTCTTGTTTTATCTCTCGATGATACGACGGTTCCTTTGTCATGAAGAAAAAAAAAAAAAAAAAAAAAAAACAAAAAAGAAGAAAGGGAAAACTATTTAACGAGAGAAAGGATATGGAATAGGAATAGTAATAATAACAATAACAATAGCAATAATAATAATAATATAAAAAAAAAAAGAAAAAGAAAAAAGAAGAGAAAATAAGAAGAAGAAGAAGAAAAAGAAGAGGACGAAGACGAAGAAGAAGATGAGGGTGGATGAAACATTGGCAGAATGCAGTGATACGCAGTGGCGGCGGCAATGGTGGCGTTGGCATGCAACGAAACGCCGAAAATGCAGTATGTGTATATATATATATATATATACACATACTGCATATGTGTATATGGCAAAGAGAAAAGAAAAGAGAGAGAAAAAAAGAGAGAGAGAAAGAGAGAGAAAACGCACGACGACATCGGCGTCGGGCGTGGCGGATAACTGACCTCGCCTCGTCTGGCCCCTCTCGAGGCATCGTTTGTACCATCCCCACTACTATGGCTATCGTAACGTTGCCCTTCCCCTCCTCTCACTCACTCGCTCGCTATCTCTCTCGCTCTCTCTCTCTCTCTCTCTCTCTCTCTTTCTTTCTCTCTCTTTATTCTATCCCCACCACGTGACGTCGGAACGCCGACCTTAGTACCCCCACTACCGACACAGCCGTTGTCGCAGCCGCCGCAGCCTGCACCGGAGACGCGCCGCCACACGTCCCGACGTAGCTGCAACCGCCTCCTCCACCTCCGCCGCCTCCACCTCGCACGTCTCGTTCGCGGCCTTCCGCGCCCCCGGTAGATTGGCAGACGGCAGTCTGGCTGTCTGGTTGCCCAGCAACGCCGTGGCTGCTCGTCGCCGTCGTCGTCGCCGTCGATGCTAGAAGGGTGGGCCTACTGATGGCTTTAAACGACTTCTTCTAACGAACAAGATCTCTCCCTACTCCCTTAACCACCCACCCATCTATCCACCTTATCATCTCTCTTTTTTACTACGAGAAGATTCTTTCTTTTCTTCTTTTTTTGTTTTTCTCTTTTTCATACCACTGCAAATTTTTTCTTTTTTTTTTTTTTTATATCATAACGCGTTTCTTTTCTTTTGTTCTCTTCTAAATACATCACATCTTTTCTTTGCATATATATATACCGTTATATATATATATATGTTTGTTATCTTCTCGATTAATTGATTCTCTTTCTCTTTGTAATTGTCATATATTAATGAAGAAATATCTTTGTTTTTTTTTTATTTGTAAATTAATTTCTCTCCCTCTTGCACTTTTAAATATTTTTTTGGTATATGAAAAATGGGCCTTGGGTGGTCCGAATTCGAACCTGGGAATGAGGTGGGCCAAGGAAGGAGAGGAAGAATTTGAAGATCTTCGGATTTGCATCGTTCCATGCTTCAAACACCTACGCTAATCGTCCCCTCTTGAATGTATACTTGTTTTTTAACCTTCTTATGTTAATCTCTGGAAATATATTATAATATTAAAATTATTTTCATATGGATATATTTACTTTCTTTTGCATTACTTGATTTTGATAATAGCTTCAACACACTCTCTCTCTCTCTCTCTCTCTCTTTCCTCCTTGAAGATTTCTGATTTCTGTACGTTTCAAATAAATAAAACTTTTTTTTTTCTTTAAACTAGTATTTCGCGTGCGCCATATAGCTATCGCGCCATACACAGTCACTACTATATCTCGTATATATTTGCATGTGCGAATTTACATTACATACGTGTTCGTAAGTCATGCCGATGATATTTGAGGAACGCGTATATGAGTTGGTAACACTGATAGTACCAAAGACTGACTGCTTCGAGATTCCATACCGTTTATATCTATCTAGGTAAAGAGAAATATATACAGTTTAAATTTATAGGATCCTTGCAGGTTAATTAGATAAGGTAGACAGATGTAGTGAAACATTGGAGATAATATCAACAATTTCAATATTCTAAACAAACAAACGTACCCACGAGTATCATCGAGTCGAGCGCCATGTTTGCTTTGTCAAACGATTGATCGATATGTTTCTCAGACGATTTTTCACATCTTACGCAAAATCATTTCGTGTATATATATATATATATATATATATATATATATATATATATTCACAGGGTGGAGCAAAAGTTCTTAGGCTTGTAGTTTAGACTTTTTAGACTTTGTAATAGAAAAGAAAAATAAGCTTATGTAGTCTCGAAAAATGGGAACGGAGCAATCGATAAAAAAAAAAAATCATTTATAAACTTTCGACCCACCCTGTATACGATACAAAGAAAAATAAGAGTTTAACGTGAATATATTCAAAAGTTATTATTTAACATTGATTTTTATCAGGATTAATAATCCTTACATGGTAATTGTGGTATATATTATATATGTATATATATATATATACATACACACATGTAATATAGGTTAGGTATAGTTAGTAAAGTAAAAAAGAAAGAAGAGAGAGAGAGAGAGAGAGAGAGAGAGAGAGAGAGAGAGAGAGAAAAAAGAAGAAAGTCACTTATAGGTGCATTTTGGAGAGGGCTGCGCGTATGGCAGCGACGTGACGCGACGCGACGCGTCTCCCTTCAAGAGATATCCACTCGTTAGTTCACCGGTAGTCAGGTAACGAAGAGCCCTTTTATTGATGGGCCGCATTCAACGAGTGGACGTCAGTGGTATTCCATACATGACACAACACGACTTGCAATACCAAGTACACATCAATTGTAGTACACATTATATAATCGATATAATCATGTACTATCAATTAACGATGCAAAAAGACAAAATTGTGAAATAATTGTCTTATTTAAAATATAATTCTATTAAAGATTTAAAACTAACAATCGTTTCATCTAAAGTTATAAGGTCAAACAACGATAAACTCTATATTGTGTTCTTAGTAAATGTAGGTATAGTATGTATTCTCTCTCTCTCTTTCTCTCGTCTACTCTCTGCAAAAAGAGTTTTCTCGGTGTATCACTACTACAATACAACCTAACCTTTATGTTTCCTACCCTGTTCTATTGGGGTGAGGTCTAGACACTACTCTGCTCTCTCGAGTCCTCATAGCAAATCGTAACTAGTTTAAGAAGTTCATCCTCGTATGATCGAACAATATGCTTGCTTCTCTCTCTCTCTCTCTCTCTTTCTCTCTGTGTAAGCTGTTCTGCGCTAGTTTACCGAGGACCTTTCACAAGTGCTTTCTTCGATGCAAACGATGAATAGAGAACGTCAACGTGGCTTTATTCGATATGATCTCCAATATTTCGCATATGTATTATTCGTATGTGTATTAGTTAATACATTCGAACCCTCTCCCTCTCTCTTTACACCAGCACCCAATTCTTAATACGCTAATTCTTTATTCCAATCAAAATTGCATTCTACTTTATTTTTATCTTTTCATATAAAATGTGTTCCTCTCCTTTTTTTCTTTTCTTTAAAGAATAATTTGGAAATATTACAAGAGATATCTAATACGACTAAATGACGCGACGACAACGACGACGATGCAGACCGCCCACCTGTTCGCACATTTCGATACATACCATCTCAGTCAGAATACAATTCTTTAAGCAATAAGCTAGCTCCGCCTTTTTCTCTGACTCATAGCTTAACCGTCGTCGAGTGACTCAGCTTCTGAGATTGTCGACAATGTCTTCGGAGGACGTGGCATATCTTGAAACGTCGAGCGCTACTAACGCGCGATGATCAGTATTCTTCTTTCTTTTTTCTCAAGATGATGCACTTCGAGAATCGCAATCGTTCCAAGATGGCGCAAACAAATTTCGATAGATCGAATAATTTTTTTTGTTTTTTTTTTTGGCTCATAACCCGACCAAAACTAATACAATTATTGTTAATAGTTTAACTCTAATGTAATACGATACATATATATATATATATATATATATATATGTATAACAATGATTAAGAAAATATTTTTCTATGAACATTAATGAAATTTTTTATATATCTAACTTTTAACTAAATAATTATTTTTCATTCTAGAAAAATTCAAACATGAATGTTTAAAAATGGAGATTGAAATTATCAATAAAATGAATAAATTTAAATCATGATTCATTGTACTTTTATAATAAAACGATTATATGAAATAGTATTTCTCTCTATGTGACGAGGGGAATTAGAAAAAGAAGAAAAAAAAAAAAAGAAAACAATAATAAAATAAAATAAAATAGAGTAATAAAGTAAAAAACAGGGTTGAAATTAAAAATAGGTTAGAAAAGCGAATATATAAATGTAAGCTGTGAAATAAATTAAATTCGTTATATATATATATATATATATAAATTATGCGTAAAAATGAAAAAAGGTGTGAATGCACCGGTTGCATCAATGTTTCACTCGATAACGAGAGTAGCTGCTTTTCCGCGTTGCGGTAAGAACGCGTACTCTTTATCCGTTCAATACCTGGATCAAAATTCCAGGTCACGACACCGCGATCACGTGCGCCGTTCCGCAATGCGAAAGCCGACATAACCTCGAAGCGTCGAGAGGCACCTGCCGCCGGTCTGCATGCGACCGAGTACACACACACGTATATACACACAACAGAGATGTACCTACATACATATCATGTGTGTATATATATATATATATATATATATATATATATATATATATATATATATATATAACATATACATATACATAGAACAAGCTCAAATATTTTAAGTTCACCTCGCGAACATTCGCTTCCAAAGTATATATCTTGTTCGTCTCGAGGATGTATCATTATTTTCTTCGAAATCTTTTTTCCCTCATTTCAAACTCTCATAATTGATATATTGATTTTATCTTATCATTGATCCTTTCTACTTGCAATATCGTATAGATTTGTTTAATAACATATAACATTGTACTTATACTCAGTAATTTTTTTTTATGAAAATCATTCGATATACAATTTTTATTCTCCCCCTCAGTCCTACAAAAAGTAAAAAAGAAAGAAAAAAAAAAGAAAGAGAAACGTATCCAAAAATAAATCGACTTAGTTCAGACTCGTAGAGCAAAAAAAAAGAACTAATAAAATCCTATAAATAATATAGTTCATGTGTGTGTGTTATATATATATATGTATATGTATATATATATATGTATAGATGCACGCACACACGTATATATGAAAACTATATATATATATATATATATAAAAGAAAATACTCTTTTCTTGTTTTTTAAATAGAATATATATATGTATATATATATATACATAGTATATAAAATTTTCTGATAACTTTTTTAATGAGCATAACTACATTTGCATGGCACGTTTAGAATGAAACGTTTTAAGTCTACGAGCCAGTCGTTCCATAGATAGATGAAATGATCGTGAATCACCTCCTGAGCTTGGAATGTCGGAGCCGTGCATCGTGCCACTCTGCATTCTTCGCGTGTTGTCTGCAAGAAACCGTGTGCTGTTGTATCGTATGAGAGAAGTGTACACGTTGGCATAATGTCCTTAAATTCGTTTCATTATATTCTATTTTCTAATTAAATTAATCAGATTAATAATTACATTCGTTGTGAGTCGAGTAAAAGTTATTTTACTGATTGACTCACTGATTGATTGATTGATTGATTGATTGATTGATTGATTGATTGATTGATTGATTGTTTGATTTATTTATTTGTTATTGATTTATTTATTTATTTAGGTAAAAAATATCGCTTTATTTCAATTATCTTCATTATCTGTTATTACAAAATGAAGCAGCGTTTAAACTGTCATTGATAAATGCTAAATCGGTATTTATATATATATCGATGTACATCACAATTGAATTTCAGTTTAAACATCAATGATAGTATGTTAAAGATAGTCCTGCATAGTATCTTAAGTTCCATACTATAAAGTATGCTATATGTACACAATAACATTCCATGACAAACTTGAACTTTATCTTTGCTTTCGTAACCAATCTGTACAATTTAAGAATAGTGTGCTCTTATAGCTTGTTAAATTAAATATATCAAGAATGTAAGCTTCTAGACTTATTTTTATATATCTATTATATAAATGTGTATTATATTTATAATTGCGTTATCCTTATATAAATATGATTTTTATTACACAGAAAAGCAGTCGTTACACATACAGATTTTATTTCTGTATAGTAATAGTAATAGTAATAGTTTGGAACTAGAATACGAAGTTGTTATATTAGTATAATAACATTTTTATACACCATTAAATTAAAACTTTTCTGTGTAGATTTTTATCATTATACCCCATAATTGTAAAGAAACAGTACGGAAGAATTTTTTCTAAAAGATTCTCTCTACCGCATCGCTTTGAAATTTTTATGAAATAGTTGTTGTAGTCGTATAGAAAGAATAAGCAGTTTTTTTTCTTTTCTTTTTTTCTTAAGAAGTTCAATATGTTTATATGAAACGTCAAAAAATTTTTTTTTTCAATACAATCTTACATAAATTTTCAATGAAAGAATTTTCACTCGAGTATATTCTTCAAAGAAAATTTTATATAAATTGATTTCAATATCATACGCTTGTACATTTTCAATCCATAGTTTTTCATAAATATAATAATGATATAGAGAGTTAATAAATTCATAACTGAGATACTCTGCAATTTATGTATCATGTTAATCGTTATATTATAATTATAAAATCTTTGTCTCCAAAGTGTAAAAAATTAAATACGGCTATGACTTTTTCGAATTAGATGGAAAATAAAAAGAGATATTGCGTATTACAATTTGATTTAAAATGTTTCTTTCTTTTTTCTTTTTTTCTCTTTTCCCTTATAGTTGAGACAAGTTAGACGCATGTATACATAAATTTCTTACTTTCCATCCCTCTTTCTCTAAAATATTTTTATAAGAAAATATATGTTTATGTATGTTTATTACAATCAAATTAATAAAATGTAATTATGTGTTTCATAATATTAATAAGATTGAAAGAAAATACAAAAATTTGTCATTAAACGTCCGAAGTATTCTACTAATTCCATATCATTTTACAAAGTATGTATTTATATTTTTTCACTACTAATAGCTATATTGATCTGATTTATTAACCAAAAAGAAAAAAAAAATCCGTAAGAGATGACTAGATATTTATCTATTACATAATAGGCAATATAAAAAAAAAGAGAAATATAATTCTGAAATAGTTAAATGGTTAAAAAAGTTTTTATGCAAAAAAATAATTCACCTATTTGGTGGTTCTATCAAAAATTATATTTTATCATTTATTCTTTTTCAATTTTTGTATACGTATATTTGTGCGATTATATACACATAAAAACTAAAAGAATAAATTGTATCTTAAAAAATTCTTTTTTAAAACGACATAATGCTTGAAAAAAAAAAAAAACAAAGAAAAAAAAAAGAAAAATAAAATAAATAAATTCAAATGTTAAATGTTAGTTTATTATAGAAATAAAATTTGTTTACATACTTTGCAAATGATTATTTAGATAGAATAAACATATATATATATATATATATATATATATATATATATATATACACATACATACACATATATATACACACGCACACACAGACCACAAATGTATGTATGTATGTATGTATGTATGTATGTATGTATGTATGTATGTATGCTGCATGTATGTACGTCTATTATATAGATTTCCGCGAAACTGCTTTTTTTTTCGTAACAGTTATATAAAGTTAACTTACCAATTAACAACACCCTTGTAAGTTCTCATCACTTTCAATTGTAATTGCATAGGGGTATTGCATTTTGGAAGAACTTTACTAGTTATTAGTTCTTGTTAATCATTGATAAAAAATCAAGTTGCATCAACGATATAAACGCGCGAAGTATCTTAGGGCAACTGTCACAGGTTTAGCTGTATCAGCTCTAAAATAATAATAATAATAATAATGAAGATTACATATATATACATATATTACATATATACAGATATACGTGTAAAATTTGGTTGTTTTCATTAATTTGATATTAAAAAAGTAACTTTATTATACCTTGTAACAGTATTATGGAATTCAACAAGTTGTTCGTTCGTCGCCGTAGGAGATCCATCCGCATTTTGAGTTGGCATTGATTTTATAGCTTCTTCTAACCATTTTGACGAAAGCTAGAAAAATAAAATTTATTTTAAATAATTTAAGATTTTAATTAAATAATTTTAAATGCACAATTTTTATTATACGATAACGTACCTGCCTATCGGCTAAATTAAGTTCAACCATAACGTCTGCAACATCGGATAACATGTACGAAGATAAAGAGAATACAGAAGCATGAAGAAGTCTCATAACTAATGTTTGACCTTTTTCTAATATTATTCCTCTCACTAATTGTCGTCGTATCGAATAATCAGGATGTGACTATAAATATTAATTATAAAAAAGAAACAAAAAATATATATATATATATATGTATATATAATTTAAATAATAAGAATATTCTAAATAGAGATTGTAAATATCGTGTATATAAATACCTGAAGCATTCTACCACTATATAAAAGATCATAAAAGAATTTCATTACTGAGGCATTAGCATCCCTATGATCTAAACTACACGCCATCAAAGCACAGTCAATTACACTGCCGATTATTGATGAATGTAGAAAAGGAATAGGTACTCTTTGTAGAAACCTATTGAAAAAAAATAAATAAATAAATAAATAAAATTGTGTTACATTTAAAAATTAATACATTATATAGTATCGTCGAAATTTTATATACCTAGCACATAATCTGAAGAGATCATCTATAGTATCAGGGTGATCTTTCAAACCGTCATCTTGTTGAAGAATTGTAAAAGTAGGTCCAATAAAAGCTTCCAACATACTTAATAATCCTGGCAAACAATCCGTTTCAGAAGCATATTCGTCAACTAATATGGAACCAAGATATAAGAAACAACTATGCTGATGAGCGGAATATAATTGTACAATCTGTAAGTATATTATAAAAATAATTACAATAGGTATATGAAGTATCATGTATTTTAATAATATTATTATGTACCTGTTTTACAAGTGGCTCAAGAAGATGTGCAGAATATTTGCCTACACATCTAACAGCGAACCTTAAGCAACGACAACATCTTTCCATAAGTCTTGCATCGTGTTGATATTCTGTACATACATTTGACAATACTGGCCACATCTGTCAATAAATATTAATTATATGACACGAGTTAACTCTCCCCCCCCCCCTCCTCTCTCTCTTATAATAGAAATATATTCTATTCATGACTTACTTCAGTAACAACATTCTGACAAGGATGTGGTTCGTTTGTATCCCGGATTAGAGGATTAGTGTACCTAAATATTACTGCTAATCTATCTAACCATATCACAGGATCAGTCTTTGTTCCCTTTTCTATTGATACTTTATTTTGTAGAATTTCACAAAGTGGTATAGCTTGAAACCAACATAATTCTTTCATTGCTGGGGTAATTTCTGCTCTTGGTAATCTTGCCAGAACTAATGCCGTACCTATATAAATCATTATATATTATTATATGAATTATCTTGATCATTATATTCAAAGTTTAAAAAATTAATATATAATAAATATAGAATTACCTTTTAGCAGTCCAATAGCAGAATCGTTACTTATGCCAAAACTGTCAAGAGAGCGTGCAATTTGCAACAATCCAGGGAAATGTGGTCCCATACGTATTGCACATGCAGTGCAAATGCTTAAAAGTGCACCGGATGCTGCAGTTCCTAATCCTTTCTGACTTAGACAGGCCAATAAAGTATTTAGTATTGGTTCTGTAATAATCATTTAAATGACAATATATAAGATATTAATATTAATGTAAACACATTATATTTACCTAACGTTTGTGGATGACTGTCTATCCATTCGCATAACTCTCCTAACAAAAGAATACTTGTATGTCGTACAGCAATATGAGTGTTTTCTGGTAAATTAAGGATTGCTTCAACTACTTTTGGAACAACGTCATTTTCCTCTCTGTACGATCAAATGGAATGATTATTAAAAATACTTTTTAATAATTCATTAATTATTGTTGTGTGTGTGTATATATATATCAGTATAACTCACGGCAGAATATTTTTAGCAACTGCTTGCATTACAAAAAGGGCAGCCTCTATAGAATCCCATGTAGGAGTTTGAACGGGTGGTAGTCCTTGTGGACCAGGACCACCTGTTAATGAAGAAAACATTTGTCTGAAACAATGACTGCTGCCAACTACAAATATTACGTCTTTTATGAGTTCTGATACGCGATTTCTAAATTCTGCAAACTCTTCTCCTCCTCCACCTTCTTCTACTAAACCAAGCTATAATAAATTAATTAATATATTAGTATGTTTATATACACACACACACATATATATATATATATATATATATATACATATATATGTATATATTAGTTTTAAATTATAAAAGATATACATAGATAAAAGGACACACTCACGTGATCTGGTTCCATTTGACAATGCCTACAAAGAGCACCGATTAATCGTTCAATGTGCGGTCGAAATACGAGATTGAGCTCATCATCATTTTTTTGATAAAGAACTTCCGATAATCGATACCAAAGATGGAAAGTTATTTGTGCGACCTAAAAAGCATGGTAAAAATAATTAATACGAATATTTATCATCTAATATATACGAATTACTAACTTCATAATCGTGATGCCCAAGACATATGAGAACAAGATCAAGAATCTTGATAGCATAATGACTTTTTCTATCCACGCTACCTTCTATAATAGTATCGATAAATGTTTCGGCCAATTCCGTAAAAACGCGACAATAATTAATAGATCTGTGTAATAAAAAGATTTAATATATTAATTGCTGTAATAATGATAAAATATCTTAATAATTTTTAATTTACTTTTCCATATCTTCGTGAACGACAGATAAATGATATGGTTGTTCTAAATCCATTACATTACTAAAAAGACACATTTGTAATTGTTGAAATTGAGCACTTGGTTCGCTATTATTATCTCGACTATTATTACTATCTTCTTCTAATGCTTGTAGGATAACACACATACAATCAGCAGCAGCTTCATGTAATTGAGAACCAGCCATATGATTACCCAATACCTACAATAATTTATATATCAATAATTCAATATAAATCATTAAATATTATAAATACTTACTTGAAACACGTATGTCACAACTTCGCTCGTTGGTATAGTCTGAAGAGGTATAGCACGAACAGTAATCCAACTAGTAAAACATCGAAGAATAGTAACCCGTATTTGTACATTATCACCCCCATCTTTTAAACACATTTTCTGAAATAATATAATACAATATTTATTTTTCATTTATCAATCTATAACTTTATTAAATTACATACCAAGAATTCTGTAACTGTATCAGCTGTTGCAATAAGTTCTACCAATACGTGTTGTCTTCTGTTGGCTCCTAATCTAAATCACATATAAATCATATTAATAAGAACAAAAAAAAAAATAAGATATTACTAATATACAATTAAGGAGGATATTTTATACTTTATAATGTTTTTTATACCTAAGAGATTTTGACTTTACTTCTTCTGGAAGTACAGTCATAATCTCTAGTAATGGCCAAAGACTGCTGCTTGTTCCTCCGAACCTGTTAATTAAATCTATAACAGGTTTCTGCCAGGATGACATTTGTAACGCAAGAGCAGCCAATGCTAAGCATAACTGTAAACAATAAGAAATATTATATACATCCTCTCTCCTTAGGATATATAAGAGAAAAAATTTATAATAGTTTTAATTTAAGAAAAAAATATTTAACTTATATATATACATATATAACTTATGTATATATATATATACATATACATATATAAACCTGTGTAACAATGGCAGAATTGGTGTGTTCATTAATTTGTGATATATGTTCCATCAAAGAATCGCGCAAAGAAGTATGAGCTTCTAGGGGTAACTCATGAAAGGATAATTGTATTTTTGTACGCATAGTTTGTGCAGCAAAATAACAAGACTCTATGTCTCTCTTTTGCTGCAACATTTCGTCAGATATTTTCCATGCAAATACCTAAAAATAATAAAATAATAAGATGCTTGTTTGATGTGCCTAATAGATACATATACATATATATATATATATATATAGATAATATATATATATATATGCAGATATATATTAGAACTATTATACATATAGATAGAATTAACACATGTAATGATCAGTATCAGATACTATAACAATCTGCACATGCCAAATTTATTATAAATACAAGAGTTTTATTATATTAAAGTAAAAAAGATTTCACAAAAGTTAGAGGTTAAAAAGTGTTATTAACAACATGTTTTCTATTAGTTGCAATTGAGCATTAATATGTACCACACAGATATCTAATATAATAAATAAGAATATTAAATTAATAAAGATATCAATAATATTATTGGTAGTACAATATAGACTTTAGGTTGAGTTAATAACTTACTGATTTTTGCAATTCTCCAAGCCATAATGATGCTTTCCCAGAATCGGATGGATTAGAATTATTGTATAAAGAATATACAGCTTGATAGACAGTTTCCAAAGCAGGTGGAGAATCCATAGTTCAAATAATAATTTTTCTCCGATAAATCTCCATACAGTTGATAATTCCTACTAACAACAGATCTACTACTCGCGTTTCTGGATGATGATCTTCCAACCTGTACAAGCCGCGAAAATCTACGTTCGCATTGTCGGTATGTACATTACGAAAACGTAATTTTTCCTAACATTTTCTGTTTTATCGACTAACTAAAGGAGATTGAGGAGATTAAGCGAACTGAAAACGAATGAGGGGATGTAACCGGTCGTCCATAATTTTACCACATTATTTTTTTGTTACAAACAATTTTCTTTCTTCATACAAATTATTATTATTATTATTAAATATCCTGAATCTCCATAGTCACAAATATTGTAGACAAAAAATTTGAAGTCGCACGATAAATCTTCAAGTAACACTACACGTTCAATCTTTTTTTCGAAATATCGACAATATCACAGTATCGAAATCATAGTTGCCAACCTTTGTATCAACGCCATCTCGATCGTCTTCCAAAATTTTCTCTCTCTCTCTCTCTCTCTCTCACTCATTTCTTTTTTCTCTTTAACAAATTCCATTCCTATATACAAATATTCATATAAAATAAATAATAAATAATAAACAATATAAAATGATCATTTAGGATTTCTTCTTTATCTGAAAAAAGGGGGGAGGAAAAAAAAAGAAAAGATATTAGACGCAAATCAATTGAAAAATTGAATCATAAAATTTATCCTTTTGAATAAATTGCAATAGGAAGGGCCCCACTCGTTAAAAATAACCATGTAGCTTGATGCTTAAACTTTTTATCGCTAAGATGTCACTAGTGGTCAGTGGGAAACTGAGGAGGTCACGTGATACGGACGTTTCATAATTTTCCGTCGCTAACGTAACAACGCTGACTGCAGCCGACGCGTTTCCATGAGGCTTATAGAGTTCCTCGTTGTCATCGTTGTCGTTGTCTCGTGACGTCCTACAACGTCCCTACTATTTCTTAACAATCTGTTTCTTATATATTTAGCTTCAATAAATCGTGATATATATATATATGTGCATGCATATATACATATGTATATGCATGCATACGTCGTCATAGAAAAAATAATCGTTATTCTTAATAAGAAAAGTGTTTTATTGGAAAAAGTCGTTTGAACAATTATTGAAATATTTAATATTAGAGATGTGATAGACACACCAAAAGGTGGATCGATCGCATCCTTCGTGAAAAAGGGACTGAGAAATCTTTTCACGATGACTAGTGTAAGCTAACGCAAATGCATAGATATTTTCAAGAATATCGACAAACTCAGCGTCGTAGGAAGTTTCAATGCGCGGCAAAAAAGGAAAAAAAAGATATACAAGTGTTTAGAAAGTGAAACGTTTTCTTTTCATATCCAAGTGAATTTTCTAAAACATTTTGTATAACTGATTTCTCCCGAATAAAACTATATAAAATACGAAACTTTTGTTGCTACGAAACGATTGTCAAACTTTTAAGTGTTTCTCTGTGTGTGTATATGTGTGTGTGTCTAAATCAAAGAAAAAGAACATTGGACTTTATCGATGTTTGTAAGTAAAAATTAAGCTTTCTTACCTTGTAAATAAATAGATAAGATTAAATGATATCTAAGTGTATGCGTACTATACACATGTGAACAATTTATATATATATATATAATATATATATATATAATATTGATAGAAGTAAAACTTTGATGTAAGAAAATTTTATATCAAAGGTAAAAAAAAAAAAAAAGAAAAAAAAAGAAAAGAGAATTAGAATTATTTTTTTTTAGGACAATAATTTTCTTTATTGCGTGTAATTAGGTACGGGCACTTTGCCAACAATATGGTTTAACGAGACCACCGCCTAAATCGTTCGACCAATCATAATCGTTCGTTCACGTAGGAGGGACACGTATCGTTCAAAAGTCAAAAAAATGTTGCATATACGTATTTATGTTTAAATAAATGCATTACACGAAAATATCCATAATGATAGAGATTGTTGTGTAAAACAAACGACGTGTATATACGTGTGTGTCTGTGCAATTCTTTTTTTTTTCTTTCTTTTTCTTTTTTTTTTTTTTTTTTTTTTTTTTCTAAGGAAATACGAATACTCTCCATAATACTGCAGCAAAAGTCTCGAAATAGAACGGAGTGTGATCGATTTCTTTCTACCGATAGCTACTACTCGCTTTCTCGTTTCAACCTCTCTTCCCGTCTGCAATAAAATTCTGTGCCTGTGTACGTGCATCCCCCACCCTTTCTTTTTATGTTAATACTTCGTATAAATTGGAATTTTTCATATTTAAAAAAAAAAAAAAAAAAATACTATAATCGGTGACGTACGTAATTGTTCGCTGCAACTCGTTCCACATTTTTTGTTTCTCGATCTTTTTTTCCTTTCTTTCTTTCTTTCTTTTTTTTTTTTTTCCAATGTATTTCTTATTTTTTTTAATTATTATTACTTTTGACTCGAGTAGTAAAATTTTCTACCTTACCAGGTTAATACGTTTATATACTTTTACTTTTTAGATAGGGAAAAAAAAAAAAAAAAAAAAAAGAAATTGAGAACTTGTATGAAATAATACCTTCAAACATATGAATACAATCGTCTATTCTATTCTATTCTTTATGTTAGAAATGTTCTTTCTAATCTCTCACGTAATTATTTAGCCTTGTGAACGTATTTAATTAATGGTTAAAATGAAGGAAGAAAATGGACGCTCTTCATATTGTTTTTCTTTTCTTTCTTTTTCTTTTTTTTCTTTTTTTTTCTTTTTCTTTTTCTTTTTTTTTTTTTTTTTTTTTTATAACTGCATCGCGGTCTCAGCCTTGTAACTTAATTAACGTTCAACGAGTTTAACAAGCCTAACAGACGCGCTCTTACACATGTATATCACATGTATATCAAATAATATCATGCAATTTATAAGGAAAAAATATGTTAAAATCGTCGATTTCTTCACCATTTTCGTTCCTCCATTTGAATTTCTTGAAGGTATGTTTAATCGGTTAATAAACACTTTTCCATATCTTTCTATTCTTTTTCTTTTTTCTTTTTTTTTTTTTTGTTTTAAATAAAACTAACGTAGTCACTGAGCGTGTTCCGAAGTCAAGATACCGCTTTAACATAGTTACGCTTTGATAAGCATAGCTTTATTTATTTTTTTTTTTATTTCTATTTCGTTACGAAACGAATAAAAATAAAAAAGAAAACCGAACGAACAAAAAACAATAATAATAAAAAAAGAATTTTATGTACCGTTATATAATCAATTTTCTAATATAAAACAAAAAGAAAAGAAAATACAACATTAAAAACGAGACACAACCTGTTAAAAAAAAATACATTAAATAGGTAACAATTATATTAAACAGGGTGGGTGCAAAGGTAATTTTAGGAATCATTTACTTTAATTATTTTTCTTATATTTTCTTTTTTTCTTTCAGATTGTAAAACTACAAGCTGGACTACAATACAAGAGCAATTGATTTTTATAATTGTTTAGGAACTTTTGGACATACCCTGTATATTGTAATTCTCTAATTACATGCAGTTAAAGGTTATATTTCTTTGTAATATATTAAAGTATATATAAATTCTATTTTTTTCTTTATACATAATGAAATGACGTGTGTGTGTGTGTGTGTGTGTCTATATATATATATTATATGTATATTAATCTCTATTCTTTTCTTTTTTTGCATCCATCTCTCTTATCATGTTCCCCACAAGGATATTATCCCATTCGGTGAAAGGGAATTCTCTTGTGGTGAACGATCATGCGTGTAACGTTTCCATATCCGATATCTATCTATCTATCTATCTATCTATTTGAAATAAAAAGAGAAAAATATAAATATAGTTCTAAATTGGTACACATATATATATATATATATATATATATATATATATATATATATATAACTAGAAAAAGTAATTCAATATCTTGCCAACGTTGCTTTCCTATCAAAGTAAACATTCTGTAGAAAACTGAGGAAACAAAAAATAAATTTCTAGTTTGAATATTTAAAAAAAAGAAAAGTCGAAGAGATAAATAAATTTGAAACAAAGTTTTTCAATAGTCCAACATATACGGAACGAGAAACTCATGAATTTCAATACTTGAACTATATTCACATAAGCATAATTAATTTCTATCTCTCAGACTTTCTCTATACCCACATAAACATGTATATACATAGATTGCCCTAATCACGGGATTGTACAGAATAGAAAGAAAAAACTTTCTATTTTCTAAAGGATCATTAAAAGAGCCCAAGAGGATCTAATTTTATCAAAATATTTGTCTGTTTAGCGATCAGTCAACAATAGTATCGATTGACAGAAGAATGAATTGGACGAACAGGATGGCGCGTCACGGTAGCGAGAGATCCCTTCATACTTTACATTCCATGCATCCTGTTCGTACTTCGATTATCCACAATAATAACAACAACAACAATAACAATAACAACAACAATGATTCAACAACAATGAATCATTCAAGAAATATGGTCAGTCCAAGCAAAGCTATTTGCAGTAGTCCAGAAATCGACGCTTTAGTTGATGATTCTATCGATGGTGTTTCAATATCAAGTACTATGAATTCATCGAGTAATACCACCATAGTTCCTGGTTCCTCTCCGTTAGCTTTGGACTCTCGTATACCCAGACCATCACCTAATAACGTTCTGCGCCGTTCCTCGAGCATGCGCATCCGTGGTGAACGGCTTCCAGCACATCATTCTCGACCCACTACTACTACCACCACCTCGGCTCTTCTTGGCCAACATCACCAACACCACTACCGTCGTCACAACCATCTTTTGCTACAGCAGCAGCAGCAGCAGCAGCAGCAATATCCTGATCATCGTATTTTTCCGGTCATCACGGAGAATGGAACCGACTCGCCAAGACAACGATCTCTTGTAAGTCATTTTCTTATTTTTATACATATAAATATATGTATGTGTATATATATTATTTTTTGTTTTTTTTTCTATTTTCATTTTATCCGAAAATTTCGGCCAATTGATTGGTGTGGTCGAATATTTCGTATATTTAGCATTTTAAATTTATCTACGTACAAATGAACAGCAAACATATTTCATCATTATTATCATTTTACATATTTTATAATAATTTGTAATACATTTGTTTTATTTTTTTTTTTTTTTTAATACTTAATGCGAGATCCAATAATTCTTCCTACTACGTATTCGGAAACCTTATCAAGAGAATCGGTAGATCTCATTGGCCTAAACGCCTCTTCCTACTGTCTTTTTAGTATACTTTTCGTATATTTTGCATAAAAAGTTTAGAACATTTTCTTGGTGATTATACTTGGAATTCAAAAGATTAATAATAAAATTCATTTTGATTATAAACATCATTATCTTTGATCAAGAAAGCTAAATAAACGTTCTTGCACTATTATAAAATTTAACATACACATATACAGATATATGTCAGCTGATCCATAGATTTATATTACGTTGTTGTTCTTGATTCCTTTAACAAGAATAATAAATCATTATTATTATTTCTTTTTTTTTCACGTGATCATAAAACTGCAGGAAAAATTAATTGATATCTTAAATTATAGATTATTACGTACATGTACGTGTATATATATATATATATATATATATATATATATATATATATATGTGTATTGCGTGTTTCATAAACGATATAAAAACGAATATCATTATTTTGAGTACAATTGAAAAATATGAATTCATAGTATTTTTTTTTTCTTCTTCTTCATTTCTGTATCGTAATACTTGCTTTTTGACTACGTGAATTTCTTTTTAGTCGTCCATTGCTTTTAGTCGTCCAACAGGTAGATATTTACACACACACGTAAAGATCGTATGCTTCCAAAGAGAGACATGAACGTTTTAAACGTAAGAAAGATCTTTCAAATCGATTAAAGAGGTCATAATTATTGCTATTATTAGTATGGAAAAATTCAAGTATTATAACAGACATAATTTTAACTATGTAGACGCATACACTTGTATGTATAAGTGTACTTAAAAGATTAATACCATCGTATCAAGAAAGTAAGAACGCAAGATCCAATTTATCTGACATAAGTATACAATACTTATCGATCTTATCAATGTTATCTTTGTCCATGAAATTCCTATATTTCTTCTTCATTCTTCATACGTAAAAAGACGTCGAGCGTATATGTATGTCTGCGTGTATGTGTAATTGATAGCTTATTATCGCTATTATTATTATTATTTCTCTTCCATTAATATCTATCTCTGAATTAATTTATTGCGTATTTTCTATGGCTATGATCTAATTAAACGAATTACATAATAAATTAATTTTTGAAGATTCTTCACTTAGACCATTTTTATAATCACTATAATATTAAAAAATGTCTTTCTTTTTTTGTTTTTATTTCTCGCTGTAAAATTATCTGTAATAGAAACGTCGGAATAAATTTTTCCAAACTTTTTTCTTATTCTTAAAATAATGTTCATTTGAAATGATAAAAGAGAACGATGTTGAATAGTTGGTAAAAAGGAAGAAAAGAAAAAAAAAGAAAACACTAGCAGGTAGTATCTTCCACCTTTCTGAATTATCTATCATCTTAGAAGGAGAGAAGGGGAGAGAGATAGAGAGAGAGGGAAAGAAAGAGGGAAAAGGAGAAAGAAAAGGAGAAGAAGAAAAAGGAGAAGGAAGGAAGAAGAAGGAAAGATAGGGTGGGAGAGTAGTAAGGGAAACACATAGAGGAAGCCACGGAGAAGGCTCCCTGACCTTTCTCAACCAACGCGTCTGCGCAGATCGTTTTTCTCCCTCGCACTACTAGACCAGATTCAACATCCAGAGTTGACCGTGCTAAAAAAGCTTTGGGTTCAGGAGCCTAACGTCATGTCAATTTCATTTTTCAATTATCTTTTTATTTTTTTTACCATGGATAAGATTATTAAAATTTCTTCAAAGATCCATTCAGTTTTCAAACTTTTATCCGAAAATAGTATATAATAGAAAGAAAGAGAGAGAGAGAGAGAGAGAGAGAGACGTATGGATTCACAGGATTATAGGAATTCTCGTAGTTGTCCATCGGTTGGTATCTTCTCATTCTGATCTATAACTATGTTGATTAAATAGAGAAATGGATGGAAAGATTGTTAAAAAAAGAAAAATTTTGTTTAATTGCAACCTACGAAAACGAGATAAATGAATTTATCTGACAAGTTTTCATTATTACAATTATTGTTGTTGTTGTTAACTATTACAGAGCCTCTCACTGACACCAGCTAGGCCGCGAACAGGACACGCGGCCTCAGGGACAACACCAGGAGCAGATGACAGTGATGCAGAGAGCGTGAGAAGTTACGGAAGTGCATGCAGCACCGCAAGTGCCTGCGATCATGCTTCCTTTGCTTTGAACGGTACTACTTGGTCTGGTCGATCACGAAAGTACGTTGTCCATTGTTCTAATCATACTGGGGACAATGAACAATATCTTACACCGACGCAAAGGGCCGCCAGACAAATTAGGAAATTTCAGGTAAATTCAAGTTTACTTTGAAATGAAAAGAATAAACAAAAGAGAGAAAAAAGAAACGAAAATGAGACAAATTATAATGATAATAATTTTTGTTATAGGCCCTTTTGAAAGAAGCAAGAATAGAGATCGAAGAAAAGAATCGAGAGATCATTCGATTAACTAAAGAGGTCGTTGAATTGCGATTGTATAAAGCATCATTGAATAGTCCGGATGAAAGAACTGACAGTAGCGATGCACTTACTGTACGTGAAAACAATCCTTTTTCACCGGAATCACCATGCAAAGATCTTTTAGACGACGGTAGTTTCGAGAAGGTCGCTAGTCCAGAAACTTCGGATAAACGTGCCCAATCGGATGTACCATCCTCTTTGGCAGATTCAGGACATTTTGAAGACGGCTCCGTCCACTCGAAAGATTCTGTGTGCCTACCGGAAACGGTACCCGAACCTTCTGGTAATAATCCTCCATCCAACCTAAGACAAGATGAACCTAAAGACGATAGTAGATCAGTCTCTGTTGTGGATAGTAATAGTCCTGAAAGAGATGAAGAAAGACGTCGATTGGTTAATCATTATGAAAGCAGAATCGAAGAAATGCACCGAAGACATATCGATGAAATGCAGGAATTGAAAATGAAGCACAATGATAAGGTAATCGAATAATTTTTTTTTTTTTTAAATCTCTTACGTTTTTTTGTTGTTTGGCATAGATACGTTCATTCATCCATCTATTTATTTGTTTGGTGATATAGGTAGAGAGCTTGTTAAATCAACTATCTGATATTAATACTCGCTATTGCGAGGTAAGGCCGTCCGTTGATGCTGCGGAAGCTCGTATTGGAGAATTGAAAGAGGAATTGGAGGCTGTGAAAAATGAACTGGATAAGAAGGAAGCTTTAATTAAAGAGCAAGAAGAGAAGGATAAACAAATGTACCTGAAAGTGCATGCGAATGAACAAGAAGCTGCACGCACTGAAAAAACTGATCAGGTGATGATAGGACATGTATTTTGTTCTCTCCCACTTTTATTTCTCTCTCTCTCTCTCTCTCTCTATATATATATATATATATATTTTTTTTTTTTTCAAATATCAAATTTACAGATACCTGAAAATGCACAGCAGAAATCATCTTTGGAAGTTAATGCCACCGATTTACTACAAGAATTAACAGTTACAAAAGCAGAATTAGAAAAAATTAAGGTAATCTATATTATATACCTGTTATATTGTGAAAATTGTGTAGATGTATTGATCTCTATTTGATACATTCAAGTTGTTTCAGAATAAGAACAAGTCATGATTCGTTTTGGTTTTAAATAATAATATGATGGAAGCAATGAGAATGTTTTAGCAAATAGAATTGAATCATAATTATATATAAGTGTAATGTAGACTTTTTCAAATCTCCTTTGAAATACATACGTCAAAGAAATTTATTTCTATATTCTTTAAAGATTGAAAGAAATATTCTTTATCAAAAAAATTTTGATAACTTTTTATAATACATACTTGTTAATTTAATAAAATCTGTATGTATTTACAAGGAGAATAGTAAAATCATTTCACTTATTTAGTATCGTAATAGTGAAGCTTTTTGTTTCACATATTGAATTTCACTGCGTTAGTTAGTTCATCAACATCTGCATTGATCGAATGCATGCATCGCTCTCTGCCAACAGTATTTTATTATTCATAATTCACTATCTTTTTGTACTAACGATGTGTCACTTTTTTTGGTCGCCGCTCACACTCCAGGATACAAGCTACTCGCCTGAACCTCACATTTCAGCCGATCGTAGCCAAAATTTATTAAGCGCTCAGGAGGCTGTTTCTCTCTGGGTCCTTGGCACACGTAAGGTCTGTATTCTTGTTCGACTGACACGTGAAGAATCTTCATTCATTTTCTCTGTTGTGCAACTGCGTTGCATTTGCTCGCATATAGTGCACAGATCTTCCTATTGTTATTTTATTTTGCAAGATCGTTCAATTTTCCATCGCTTGAAAAATTTCATTTATTAAAACACACATATATATATATATATATATAAAATTATGTTAAATTTTTTTTTATCTCCAAAACGTTCAGTAAAAATTCCGACAATTATTTTAATCCTATAGAGAATGTACGTTCCTTATTTTATCAAAGTTATTTTATTTATTTGCACTTTCATGCATATACATGTAGCTTTGTTAAATTTGTAAATATGTTTAAATAAAAGCATGATTCTTGATGATAGTACATTGTTTATCATCATAGACATGTTTATTCTTATATATTAACGATCTAAGCAAACTTCTAATTTTCTTTTTTTTTTTTTTTCTTCATCAAATAATGGTGGAATTTAGAACAATTTTGTATAAAAAGATTAAAGTACATTTTCTTTATGTGATGGCTTTGCTCTTAAAATCTGCATGTTGATTGTCAAGCACAAATGTAGATGGTTCACAGTTTACACTACAATACATCGCTCTTAGATCGGGCCATACAGTGCACTTGGAAGAAACAGCCTCTTATAATTCAATAGATGTAAGTCTGCACGTGCTTAGAGCAATGCACGCTTCCAATATTTATATTTGTATAGAATTTGCCTGCAATTTCATCATATTGGATCCAGAAATAATAAAATTATAAAAGATTATTATTATATATGAATATAATTAATTAAAAAAATTAATGTGCTATATGTGTAAAGGTAATTTTCATAGAATGTATCCTGATATTACTGGATTCATTTATAATAAATGTTATTTTATTTTTTAGAGAAAAATATTCACTGTTTGATAATATGCACACAACGCATAAAATATAAAATGGAATAACATATTAATAACAAAATATATTAGCATTTTTATTATTTTTTTTTTCTTCTTTTTTTTTTTTTTTTTTTTTTTTTATATATATATTAGGCAATGTATCGGAGTATTGTGGAGGCAAAATACAAGAAGGATGAATTGGATCTTGCAATCACCTTGCAGTTTTTAAAATCAGCATTTTATTACTTCCTGACTGATAAAGAAAATCATCGTGGACATCTGAATGCTATCGAAAGTATCTTGGGTTTTACCGAAGCTGAGAAACACAACATTGATAAGATTTATGGATCTGCTAGAAAATAACTTAAACAACTTTATAAAAAGCGATGTATATGATTGTTAGAGACATACGGTGAAACGTGTTCTCCATTTATTACTTTTCTTGATATAATATTTATAATTTTATATACACATTGATATAAAAAGACTAAATATGTATTTCTCTCAATGTTTAAAAAGAAACATTATTTTCTATTTACATACGTTCGCATTGAAAAAGTATATATATTGATCGTACTTATATTTTCAATAATTTTTTTTGTAATGGATAAAATGAACACTGTATGTCATATACTTTTATCATACTGCTGCTGGTTAGCAGACAATTTTAATGATTTTAAACATTTTTAATAATAATAATATGTATTTCAATTTTTGTTATGCAGTGAGAAAAATTTTGAAATTGTAAATGTATATGCGTATGATACAAATTTAATAGTCTTCATATTATACGGTAGAGTTCTATGTATATTGATTTCCATCAATGGATATGTATTTCATAAAGAACATATGGCATAAGTTATTAATTAATATAGAAACTTCAATAGAATTTTCCTTATGTTCTAATTAAAACTACATCGACTATATTTTTAGATACAAATTTCTAATTAATATTTAACTATTATTTATCGCGATACGATCATTAATATAATATACTGGACTCTAAGGCCTATTTATATAACTGTTTGAAAAAAAAAAAAAAAAAGAATGACAGATTATTTTTCATATTAATATTTGAAATACATATCCACATTGTATATTCATACAAATATTAGTATATAAAAATAACTACATATATTATAAAGCCACAAAATATTTCTATTGGGGTATAGAATGTTTTACATTCGTATAGAATTAAAATGTGTTAGAAATTAATTAGATTGATAAATAAAATAACTTAAAGTCTTATTAAAATCAAAGAAAAATCTAAATTATAGTTATACTTAAATTTGGTGGCACATTACACATTGAAGTAATAAGGAGACTGAGAAGATTGCCTTTTTATCTGCTTATCTGCTTGATCTTGCCTTTAATCTGTTTATTATCTAGTATTATAGAAAAATTCACAGTGAAAGTGTTATTAAGAAAATATATTATAAAAATTAAGAAAAAAAATATAAGCATATTACCTATATATATATATATATATATAATATAGTAATATATATATTACATGTACTTCCTGGATAGATTTTTTTGCACCAATAACTTATTTTAATGTATTCTTTACTGCCAATATTTTATTACTGAACACTTCCATCGGTAACAGTATTCCACTGTAATATACTGACTTACTTTTAAATTATTTATAATATTACAAGTATATAAATTGGTGGAATATTCCTGAATAAATTTAATAAAGAATGATATGGATATAATCATTAATGATAAAAAGGGATTACATTCACATTGTGCAATAATTTATAAAGAAAACCAAAGATATTTAGCAGAGCAGCCTATTTATCTGATTGTATCACAATTTGATAACTTCATATTTTCATTTAACTATTTAAATTAAAATATCTTGTTAAGATAACCAAGGTGAGCTCTGAACATAAAATTGGCATTAAATTAAAATTTAAACTTTTTCCTATTGCAAATAAATTTTCAATTTATAAAATTATATGTTCCTATGGTGCCAATGCTGTGAAAATTAATTAACCAAACAAAATATTTTAATCAAAGCAATGCTGTTTTTATATATAACCTTAAATGGAAGATTAAGTAATTAAATTATTATTAATATATAATGTAATTCGATTCATTTTGACATGCACATAATATAAGCTAATGTAATCAATTATAAATTTGAAATAATCTTTTATAGAAATAAAATAGTTACTACAAAAGAAGGAAAGTAATCATATCTATAGATAAATAAAATATAAGAAATATTCCCTTTGCATTCATATATAGTTTCTTCACTCATCATTAATATACATTAATATTTGTTCAGAGCTCTGATATGAATATGTGGAAATGAATGTAGAGTATGTAAATAATTCTATAATAAAGATATGAATAAAATCTAAATAAATGTTCAGCTACATACTACTTTTTCATTAATAACTATCCAAAAAGAAAAAGGAATGTCATAAAGACAATTAAAAAATATCTCCCACATGTTAGAATTTTTTAATATGTTTTATAAAATAATCGTAAAATACAATTTTTGTACATTACTTTTTCCCAGCAATTATGATACCATCATATTTCTGTTGGAACCATTTCATTGCATCTTCTTTAGTTAACCTATGAGGGAAACCAACTTTCCCAGTTTTCCTTCGTCTGTGAGCTACATTGAAACCTACAAATTTATAAATATGTAAAAAATTGAAATGTTTCTGTTGTATAACCAAAGAAAATTTTAATATATATATATGATATATATTAAAATGTAGATTCAATTAAGTAACACACCCAGTATAAGAAGTGGGCATGAGTTGCAAATATGAAACATTTATTTTAGCACATGTTTCACAATAATAGACATCGTCAATGAATAAACATGATATCTATGATACCAAATAATGTGCAATCTTAATGAGTGTGTTATTAATTAATAAAAGGTAACTAACCTGGACGTCCAAGTACAACATAGAAGTCCAAACCATAAATACCAATGCTAGGATCATACTTAATACCTAAATCAATGTGTTCTTGGATACCAAATCCAAAATTTCCAGTACCTGAGAAGTTTTCTCTTCTCAATTCGTATTCACGTACCTATCACAATGTAATGATACAATATTTATTAATGATACAAATAATCGAAAAGAAGAAAATAATAAAAGATACTACGTAAACTAACTTTTAAACCACGCTCAAGAATCTCTTCAGCTTTTACTCCACGAACAGTACAGTGTACAGCAATCTTTTCATTACGACGTATACCAAAGGAACGTACGGTGTATCTTGCTTTTGAAAACACTGGTTGCTGACCAGTTAACTGTTCCAATACCTATGCCATCCAAATTGATAATCAATGTTATCCTATTATTATTTTTACTTAATTTACAAATTATTAATAAATTATTTTTACTTTTTAAAACAACATACCTTTGCGGCTCTTGTCAATCTATCACCCGACTCACCAACGCAAATATTTAAACATAATTTGCGAATTCTGACTTCGCGCATTACATTTTTAGACGCATCTTTTGGTTCTTTTTTCGCCCTTTTTTCTATTTTCTTCTCTGTTGCCTTCTTTGCATCCTATAATTAAATACGTATTATGATTAATATTCATAAAAATACACCTTCAGATAGACACGTGTAGTGGCAGCAGAATGAAGGTTATAAAAATTTTATTACGATTATAAAAGTAATAACAACTTCACATTATAAAAAACGATTAGATCGAAAGAAGAAAGAAAGATTATATAAAAATAATCATTTTTCGAAGGTTATGATCGCAATGCACGCTGATCAAACGCACTATCATATAAGGTCGACAGGTTGTTACATATAAACAGATAAACGTGTTAACCTAACTAATAAAGAATATTATTTTTAATCGGAAAAAAGTAATATTCTGCTTACTATACTTAAAACGATAATAAAATAGAAAGGATGAAGGCGATATATTAAGATATTTTTAATTGATTTACGTATGAGGACCGTACACTCACCGCCATGATGGATAGAAAAGACTGATGACCGATGCGCACTCTGGTGGACGATACTTAAATTACTTTAATATATATCGAATCGTGTATCGAACGAGTGTTCGATAATACGATTTGTAATACGTAATACAATTTTGTAATGAATACAATTTGTAAGTATATATATATATATAAATAAACTTTTAGAAATATTTCTTAAATAAATTATTAAATATTTTAATCCTACTAAAATATTATTAAACTTTATGTGTTCAATAATATTTTATTAATATATATAATATGAATGAATTTTCTATAGAATTGTATAACACATGTTTCATACAATATATTTATATAATCGAAACATATTTATCTAATTATAATTATTTATTAATTTATTTGTTATTATTAATATCAATATATTGTAAATAAATAGAATTTATTATGTTACTCTATTGACTAGGTTTTGAGAATTCGCCCTAATTAATTCGTCGTCTTCTCTTTTTCAAATCATACAAGAAACTTTATCTGTCTAAATATGTTATATGTAAGTTCGAGTTAATTTTTATTTGATTATATAATTAATTTTTATATATTTTATTTAATTGTTATAAATATTCAATAGGATGAGACATAAGAACAACAAGAAATTGCAGTTGCTCTAACTAAACAATAGAAATGAAGGAATTAATGCATTCTATTCTAAATTATTATATCTAATGATTAAAGGTATAAAAAGAAATATATATTGCTTTTCTTAAATTTTTCTAATAATTAATAATAAATAATTACAAATAGGATATTATTCTATAAAAAATAATATATAATATATAATAATATATAAAATAAGAACTTTATAATTTTATTTGAATTCCAAGTTATATTCTAATAATGAAATTGTATGTAATATGTAATTTCATTACATAAATGAATTATATTTGTTGTTGAAAGATTAAAATAATTGTACAATTGGAAATCATATAAATTAAAACTTATGAACAGAACACAAACTGTATGTGTATATATATACGTATATATGTATGTGTATATATATACACACACATATATATATATATAATATGAGGTTTAAAAAAATAATATATATAAAGACTTTCACATAAGTTTTTTAATCATAGTTATTATTATCGTTAATATCCATATAATTATCAATAACTACAGTAAAACACAAAACAAAAATGGTGATATCTGTACATTCTCCTTAAGTGATTAACATAAACTTTTTTTTTGTATACCAGTAGTAGAGTGTCTACTTTTATAGGAAGAAACTAAATCAAAATATTCACAGATAATTTACAAGATAGGTGAGGCGTTTATTGGACGCACGCATCGCGAATCCGAATATTCTTTTCTCTCTCTCTCTCACACACACATACACACTCGCGCATACATACAGGCAGGATACATACATGCATGCATACACGTTATCGCTATCTCTCTCTCTCTCTCTCTCTCACTATCTCTCTCTTCCTCTCTCTCTCTCTCTCTCTCATTATATAAAACATTTATTTTTATCTTGTCTTTTCTTTTTTTTCCCCTTGTTTGTTTTTTCAATCAATTTTGCGAGAGCGAATAATTGTAATTGAAAAAAGAAAATGAACAAACAAAAGGTATGGAATAAAAAATAAAAAAATAAAATTATTAAAAAAAAGAAAAGAAAAAAAAATAAAAAAAAGAAAAGGAAAAAGCGTTCCCATTGGAAACAAATTTATTATTTGACGCGATGCGTGCGACGCATTCGCGCACTCGATATATTATACTTACTTGTACCTGTAATATTATATATATATATATGCTTACTTAATTTTTTTTTTCTTTAATTTCTTTTTTATACTCGCAACTCGCTCGCTCACTTATACTTCTACACTGTACATATGCACAACGCATCTTTTACACTGTACATGCACACGCAATATCCACGAGTAATCCGCGCTGCCTTACACCTTTAATTATATAATATTGTTTAGGGATAGGCAGAAGAAAAGGCGGGAAACGTTAAAAAAAAATATATATATGTTCGTGTATATGTATATAAAAAATAAAAAAAATTAAAAAAAAAATGAAAGAAATAAAATGCAAAGAACGAACATGGCATGCGAGTCGTCAAGTAATCAACGAATTCTAAATTTGTTTTATGACGATTTGAAAAATTCGTTGTTTACTCGAATCTTGTTTTCGAATTACAAAATTAAGAAAAAAGGTACGTTATACTCTTCTCGTCTAATGATAAATAATAATAATTATAATCATAATAATAATAATAATAATAATAAGAATAATAATAAGAATAATAATAATAATAATAATAATAATAATAATAATAATAATAATAATAATAATAATAACCATCGTCATCTTTTATGGTTGTTTAAAAAATATCAAAAAAAAAAAAAAAAAAAAAAAAAAATAATAAAAAAATAAAAAAAAATAAAAAAAGATATTAAGAATAGAAAAAAATTAGAAAAAAAATGGAAAAATAAATTCTATTTTTTTTTCTCGTTATTTCCCAATCA